CCCCCCTCCCCTCTAGAACCCTCAGTTTGTTTTTCAGAGTCCATCGTCTCTCATGGTTCGTCCACCCCTCCGATTTCCCCCGCTTCTGTCGGCTGTTAATCTTATCTGAACCTTTCTCCCTTCCAAAATGGGATGACTAGTGGAGATGGGTGGTAATGCTAGTGTTGTTCTGTACAAGAACTCAGATCCTGACCACTGTCTCTCTGCTCCAGGGCATCATTCTGGAGCTCCTGAAGGAGGCCATGTTGGCCAGCCTCAGCAACACCAAGGGCTTCCTGATTGACGGCTATCCCCAGGAAGTGAAGCAAGGGGAAGAGTTCGGACGTAGGGTGAGCTGTTTTTATGGAGATCTTCCCAGAAGGAAAATAAGGGACATCATTGAGGTTGGGGGATAAATTCAAAAGTCTATCCCTCTCCTAATTACATTAATCAAACTTTCAGTTGCAAATGGCAAAAACTCAACACAAACTGACCAAAAAAGAGGGGAGTGGGGTGGGTGGGTGATGGTGCTGGATTTATTGACTCAAGTAACTAAAATGTCCAGGAGTGGTTCACACTTGGTTGGACCCATGTATCCAAATTTGTTCATCCATTGTGTGCCTTTCTCCATCTCTTGGATTCCGGGCTTATATTTCACCATCTAAATGATCTCAGAGAGAGTGTTTTCCTTTTCCAATGGGGGCAGCAAATGACCCAGGGTAGTGTTTCATTATTCTGGATTAGGTCATGAGCCCATCGCTGAACCCATCACTGTGGCCAAGGGGAAGATGGGAGGGCATATAATGGAATATCTAGGAATACCCTGATTCATCCTGGAAGACCAGGCTGGGGATGGGAAGGGAGGAGGAAACACCATACCTGAAGCACTCGGACTGAGAAAGGGAAGGGAAATTACCCAAGAAAGAATAGAGATGCCCTTAGAAGCCAGAAAGGGAATTGATGCTGGACAAGCAGAGTCAAATGTATGCACCGCTCCAACCTCCCAGCATCCAACCTCCCCAAGTCCCTCCGTCTCCTAGTGAAGCAGGTGGGGCAGGGCCACTCACAGGGGAACAGAAGTAAGTAAAAACCATCATAACTATCCCTTATTGAACCTACTCTGGGCTCGCTCTGGTGTTACACAGTGTATATCCATTTACCTCTAAAGTCCAAGCAAGGGGGAAACAATTGTCCCCAGTTATTAAACAAAGATTCCAGAGCTCACAAGAATTCATATTTATCTAGATAGCTCTTTAGACTAGTTTTAAGACATTTTCATGTTTCATTTCATATATTTTTAATAACCTTTTTAGATAGAGGAGGTATTTTCTTCATGTTAGAAGTGATGAATTTAGCCCAAAGAGATTACATGACTTGCCCACAGTCACATGTCTGGTAAGTGACAACTGCTGGTAGGATGAAGATTCCAGAGCCCGTCTCCATCCATCTCTAACACTGCAATGTGGATTACAGTGAATCGGACTTGTATGTCTCCTGGAGGTTAGTCTGACCTTCTGAGCCTGTTTGATTGAACTTCCTTAGGTAGTATCTGAATATTTAAAGGCCATTTGCTCACCTTCCCCTACATTTCCTGCCAGGAACCAAAGTCAAAGAAAAAATGTGCTGGCCTAGTTGGCAAGAGTGGGATGAGCCCACCAGGGCTGTCCCTCCGCTCTGGAGCCTCCAGCAGCAAGGTGGGAGTAGCAGAACCTATGCCTCTGGGGCTCTGGTGGTTCCAGAAGTTCCCAGTGGGGGGCGCTCACAGCCAGTATTCTATTGAGCTTTCTCCCGCACAACAAACCACTTTAAGAGCTCAAACTTCGATATACATCAACTACTTTTTTCAAAAAAAATGGAATTGGGAAGATTGCTATGCCTTTTTTAAATATCATGATAAAATACCCATAACGTAAAAGTTAACATCTGAACCACTTTTAAGTGTAGAGTTCAGTAGTGTTATGTGTATTTGCGTTGTTGTGCAACCAGTCTCAAGAAGTCTTTTCTTCTTGGAAAACTGAAATTCTACACCCATTAAACAACAACTTCCTGTCTCTCTCACCCCCGCTGCAGCCCCTGCAACCACCATTCTACTTTTAGCTCTATGAATTTGATGACTCTAGGGACCTCTTCTAAATGGAATCAGCCTGATTTGTCCTTTTGTGGTTGGCCTATTTCACTTAGCATCATGTCCTCAAGGTTATTCATGTTGTAACATGTGTTACAATTTCCTTCCTTTTTAAGGCTGAAGAATATTTTGTTTATCCATTCATCCATGAACAGTTACTTGGGTTGCTTCCACTCTTTGGCTATTGTAACTAATGCTACGAACATGGATGTACAAATCTCTCTTCAGGACTTTGCTTTCAACTCCTTTGGGTATATATACAGAAATGTAATCACTGGAGCATCTGGTAATTCTATCACACACCACCTACTGTAGCCGCTGCGCCATTTTACATTCCCACTAGCAGTGCACGAGCATTCCAGCTTCTCTACATCTTCACCAACACCTGTTACTTTCTGGGGGTTTTGGGAGTAGCCACCCTAATGGGCATGAGGTGATCTCTTACTGTGGTTTTGGTTTGCATTTTCCCAAAGATGAATGAAAGATGTTGAGCATCTGTTCATGTTCTTGTTGACCATCTGTTCATGTTCTTGTTGACCATTTATATATCTTCTTTGGAGAAATGCCTATTCACATCCCTTGCCCATTTTTGAATCAGGTTGTTTGGTTTCTTGTTATTGAGTTGTAGGAGTTATTTATATATCAGATATATAATTTGCTAATATTTTCTCCCATTCTGTATGTTAACTTTCGTTCTGTTGATTGTGTCCTTTGATGCACAGGTTTTTTTTAAGATTTTTTTTTTTAGTAATCTCCACACCCACCATGGAGCTCGAACTCACAACCCCAAGATCAAGAGTTGCATGCTCCACTGACTGAGCCAGACAGGTACCCCGATGCACAGAAACTTTTTATTTTGATATAGTCTAATTTATCTGTTTTTGCTTTTGCTCCCTGTGGAGTTTTTTTTGAAGGTTTTATTTATTTATTTGACAGAGAGAGACAGCTAGAGAGGGAACACAAACAGGGGGAGTGGGAGAGAGAAGCAGGCTCCCCTGCTGAGCAGAGAGCCCGATGCAGGGCTCCATCCCAGGACCCTGGGATCATGACGTGTGCCGAAGGCAGACGCGTAACGACTGAGCCACCCAGGCGCCCCATGTTCCCTGTGTTTTAATGTCATGTCCAAGAAACCACTGCCAAATCCAATGTCATGAAGCTTTTCTCTTATTTTCTTTAAGAATTTTATAGTTTTAGTTCTTTCATTTAAGTCTTTAATTCATTTTGACCAATTTTTGTATATGGTGCAAAGTAAGGGTCCAGTTTCATCCTTTTGCATGTGGATATGTGGTTTTCCCAATACCATTTGTTGGAAAGACTGTTTTTTCCCCAGTTGAATGGTCTTGACACCCTTGTCAAAAATCTTTGGACCATCTGTGTAAGAGTTTATTTCTGGGCCCTCTCTTCTGTTCCATTGGTCTGTATGTCTGTCTTTATGCCAGTACCACACTGTTTCTATCACTGTGACTTTGTAATAAGTTTTTCAATCAGGAAGTGTGAGACCTCTAACTTGGCTCTTTTTCAAGATTGTTTTGCCTATTGAGGAAACCTTGAAATTCCATGTGAATTTTAGGATGGGTATTTCTATTTCTGTAAAAAAAAAAAACAACAGTGCCATTGGGACTTTGAAAGGGGTTGCTTTAAATCTAGATCGCTGTGGGTGGTACTGACATCTTAACCATATTGAGTCTTCCATAGACTGTTTTACATTTTAGCTTCTTCTAGTCTTTTAGCCAAGCTGTGGATAAGGTTCCTGGGGATACACCATGAATAACTGAGTAACCGGGAAATGTTTTCTACACTTCAGAAACAGGGCCTTGGCAAGTCTAGAGGATGGAGAGAGGATAGAGAGGAGTTGTTGTGGGGTCAGGCCCTTGACAAGGGCTGCCTGCTAGCAGGGATTGGCCGTTGTGGAAGCACACCATTCAAATACAGTGGGAGATACCCTGTAATGGCCACAGGGTCCACGGTGTTTCCTAAGCTTCAGGCTTCACAGTGACAGCACACTTCTAGGTGATTTCACTGAAACTTACTTTGCCTGTGAACTTAAGGTCCGAAGAGCCCTGGGAGGGTCTCCAAGAGAGTCAGGACAGGTCATGCAATACTAGCTTGGAAGTGCTGGGGGAAAATGTCTTTGAAAAGTCTACTTTTCTAAATTGTTCTTTTGAAGCCCCCAAATGGTCCAGTGTGGTAAGGAAGATGTATGGTAAAGATGAGCATCTCTTTTTTTTTTTTTTTTTTTGTCAACTACTAAGTGCAAACAACAATTATAAAAGTTATAATCCATATTCTCCCTTGGGGATTTTTATAACTGGAGGCAAATCCCTGATTTTAGGCCTGTGGGGTTCCAAACTGTTTTTGAGCAGTGGCATTCACGTAGAGCTTCTTTAAAGCATGTCAGTCAAGTGGTCCGGAGTTCAAAAAGCTGAATCTTGCCTCTGTCCTATATTAGTGCGACTCTGGGCAAGTCACTCAACTTCAGCCTCCTCCTCTGGACAATGGAGGTAATAACACATCTGCCAAACCCTAATTCAAGGATTTTGTGAACATTGAATGACATAACATACATAAATGTGTTTTCTAAACTGTAAAAGGCTATAAAATATTATCTCATTTAGGGTCAGTTTTTTTTTTTTTTGAGAGAGAGAGAGAGCGGTCACATGCAGGGGGAGGGGCAAAGGGAAAGGAAAAGAGAAAATCATAAGTAGACTCCACGCTCAGCACAGAGCATTACACGGGGCTTGATCCCACAACCCTGAGATCATGACCTGAGCCGAAATCAAGAGTCGGACACTTAACCAACTGAGCCACCCAGGTGCCCCAGAGTCACTCATTTTTTTTAATCACACCTCACACAAATCTGTAAATCCCGATTTGGTCAAATCTTTCTCCTTTGCTTATAACCCAGGTAGCATGAAGTAAAGGTTTTACATGGCTAGTGGTCTGTTCCTGGCCTTTGGCATATATGAATTCAAAAACCCATATGATCTCCCCCAAAGTAAAGCAGAACTCTCCCTCCCACTGGGGTCCCCATTCAGACAGGCATTAGAATGTGGCAGAGGGGCGCCTAGGTAGCTCAGTCAGTTAAGTCTGCCTTGGGCTCGGGTCATGATCTCAGGATCGTGGGATCAAGCCCCAGCTCCCGCTTCAGTGCGGAGCCTGCTTCTCCCTATCCCTGTGCCCCTCCCCTGCTTGTGCTCTCTATCTGTCTCTCGATCTCTCTCTCAA